CGATCCCTACTGGGGGATGTGCAGGAGGCAGCCAGTTGATGATTCTCTCTCATCATTGATGTTTCTATCTCTCTCTCTCTCTCTCTCTCTCTCTCTCTCCCTTTCCCTTCCTCTCTAAAATCAATAAAATGTATTTTTAAAAAAAGCGGAAAAGGGATGACGACCTTTCAAATGAAATAGTAAGGCCAATATCATATCCAGGAATAGCAGAGGAATTGCAGTTGGGAACATCTATAGCCAACCATAGGCAAATGGAGGAGACAAACAGGTCAGTCTTTATTAGGTATTAGGAGGCAATTGGGGAGGGCTGTGGCAGGTTTTTATTGGCCGCAAGCAGTGGGCAGCTTGTTGTTGCTGGGTCAGAAGGAAATCCTCTTTCTTCCTGCTGGGTGTGCAAGAAAAGTGAGTACATACATGCTGGAGAATCCTTCCTTTATGGCAGCGGTTCTCAACCTCTGGGTCGTGACCCCTTTGGCAGTCGAACGACCCTTTCACAGGGGTCGCCTAAGACCATCCTGCATATCAGATATTTACATGACGATTCATAACAGTAGCAACATACAGTTATGAAGTAGCAACAACAATAATTTTATGGTTGGGTCACAACATGAGGAACTGTATTTAAAGGGCCAGAAGGTTGAGAACCACTGCTTCATGGCTTCCTGACTCCATTCTGATTTATATTTCCTTTGTTCATTTTCACAAGATGTAAGAGATATTTTGGATAGAATTATTATTATCAACATGTATCTGTATAATAAAAGATACTAACCAATGGGCTAAGATTTGTTCAGTAGGATTATAGCCCTAAAACCAAGAACCAACAGGGCAGTTTAATGGGGCTGGGGGTGGGGGGTGGGAGGGGAAGGGAGGGTTCTTTGTTGTTTTGTTGTTGTTGTTATGTTTTGTTCTTTTTCTTGGGTGGGTTTGGGTCATGAAATAATAACATTAAAAAGATTGGGATAGAAAGGCAAACTGATAAATCAGGTTAGGGACTGGAAACCGTACCTGAGTTTAGCAGGGAGTCATTGCTAGACGGTTTTCAGCACAAAAATGGTTAAGATAGGATTTGTACTTGAGGATGATTTTTATGGTTCAGTGTGGGGAATGGCTTAAAGGGAGTAAACAAAACATAAAAATACTCTTTTAAAAATCTAAGAATTAATCACATTAATCTCAATTAGGATAGTGTACTGTAGGAACTAGAAATGTGTGTAAACTTTTTATGAGCAAAAGGATTTTCTTATCTACCATCAAAATATAGAGCCCTGAAGATGTTAGATATTCAGTCAATATGTGTAAGGCATCTTTGAAAGGTCATATAAGCCCTTCACAGACTGTATGCTAATGAGTAAATAATTGATGGAGCTTTTCAGCAGAGAATTGCATAACTTGAGGCAAAACCGTGAGGAAATGGAGAAAGAAAAGAAGCTGGGTGGTTTGTCAGTAACCTCCCTCGATTGTCCAGGTGAATACTTTGGGCTTGACCTCAGGCAATTGTTATCTGGTAGTAGAAACTGTTTTTGTTTTTCTGAGATATAAAACCACCTATATGTGCTAATGGATGAGTTGTGGGAGGAAAGAGAAATGAAGTCAATGATAGTTCTAAGCATTTTGGTCTTGGAAGCAAGGTAAATAGACAGGGCCAAATCCTCAGCTGTAGGCATTAGAGCAAATTATAGGGCCAATTACTTAAATGGAGGCATTTGGAGCAAATTGTGGGGTCAATTATTCATCTGTAGGCATTAGAGAAAAAAAGAAATTGTGAAAAGGTGAATACTCATGATGCAGAAAAAGATGAAGAATACGGTGTCATGCCACCAAACCAAGGGTGTGTTTCAAGAAGAATGGGATCATCATGGTGAGATCCTGGGAAACAAGGTAAAAAAGAGGATGAAGAATTGGTCACAGGCATCACATTGACAGTTTCTGTGGAATTGTGGTGTTAAATTGCGAAGTTGTGGGTGAGGTTTAAGAGAGCACGGGAGGAAATATAGAGGCAGTGTTTACAGATAGCTCCAGGGGAGTTTTTCTGAGACAGGGAACAGGGAATGAGGAAGTGGCTGGATAGGTATAGAATAGCGGTTCTCAAACTGTGGGTCGCAACCCCTTTGGAGGTCGAACGCCTCTTTCACAGGGGTCGCCTAAGACCATCGGAAAACACATATATAATTACATATTGGTTTTTGATTAATCGCTATGCTTTAATTATGTTCAATTTGTAACAATGAAATTGGGGGTCACCACAACCTGAGGAACTGTATTAAAGGGTTGTGGCATTAAGAAGGTTGAGAACCACTGGTATGGAATTAAGTAGCACCGCCCAGCCCCTGTTTTGTTAAATGTTGGGAATATTACAGTATGTATATATTATCCAAGTAAAATGAAAAACCTGGTGAAGGGGAAGATATTGAGACAATTTCCTGATTTAGGTTTTTGAGTGTGCTTGAAGGAATGGCTCTTGCTCATAACTGGAGAATTGTCATCATATAACAGGAGAGAAGCAAGAGTGATATGTGCAGCTTCAGACACAGTGAATGTGGGGAAAGGCTGTCCATGTGACTTTCTGGTGAATTTATTTAATTGGACTGGAAATAACAAGGAAAAACTCTGCATACCTCCAGGTCCCATGAATTGGATTGAGAAATAAAGGAAAGGAATTTTTCTTTCTTTCTTTCTTTTTTTTTTTTTTTTTAAGGGCAGTGTGATTTCAGAAGGAGCTATTCAGAGAAGAGATGGAAGGAGTCTGTTGATGAGGACGTATTGTAGAGCCAGAGGAAGGGTTTCAGAGAGGATCTCAAATCAGACTGTGGATAGCACATAACTGGGATATGTGTCCAAGTTCAAACTATTGCATTTTCTTAAGATTGGCTGGTGTCATGTGAGTGTGGGGGAAGGGTGGTTGTCTGACCAGGAGAAAGCAGAGTTTTATGGCTTGTCATTCAGTCTTGGAATCAGTGATGAGGCCTGGGGTGGCGATGAGGACCAGTGAGCAGGCAGCTGAGGGTCGCTAGTGAACACACTCTGCTTTGCCAACTGACATTACCTCAATTAGTTATCTTAACAACACTACATGATAGGGACCTTTAGCCTTACATTTCAGAAATTAGCATTAGGGAGATTTTGAAGTGCCTTTTCCCCAAGTTTTCTGAAATAGCTTTTTTTTTTAATTTTTAAAAATCTTTATTGTTGAAAGTATTACATGTGTCCCCTTTTCCCCCGAGTTGGTCCCTTCTTGCCTGACCCCACTCCCCAACCCCAAGCCTTCGGTTTTAATCCAGTTATCTGACTTCATGGTCTATATACTTCTGACCACTTCTAAGTAGACAAAGTGACGAGGGAGCTAAAAGATTTAACTTGCACATCTTTCCAAATTTCCCTTGTGGAGTTAGTGTAATGTCATGTTTTAGGACAAGACACTGATTTTTATTATGTTCTCAGCAATTTACTAACTGCATGACTGGGCAAATCTATGCAATGTTTTTGAGTGTTTGATTCCTCCTTATTAATATGAAGACAGTGAGGAACCGTGTAATTCATACTATTACTGTGGAAATACGAGAACTCACAAATGCTCATTGGCTATTATTAATGGTTCACAGTCCTTTATTCATAATTCTGAAATCCATATATTCAAAAAACTGAAAGCTGTTTTATAATTTATTTGACATAAAAATTTAACTTAAACTTACATGGGGCTATTTAACCTTTAATTCTTCCATTTACTCTAGATGTTCTTACATTTATCTGAAAAAAATATTAATGCATTTGATTATAGGGTGTATCTTGGACTCTGAGTTATAATATGCAATATATATAATATGTGCTTATTTATTTTTCTAAAATAGTCTGAAATCCTAAATATATCCTGCTCCATGGGCTCCAGTGAAGGTATTCTAGACCTGTTTTATTATGATTATCCATACCCCTTAACAGAATAAATTGGGCTTGATGTGGTCATGTAAAATAACTAGTTTCTTTGCAAGGAAAATATTTTTTTTAAGTCTTAATGCAATTAGAAGTACATGATTTACATTGATAAAAACATTTGGAAATTTATGTGGAAATTGAAGATTCGAAAGTTGAAAGTAGGGCACAATGAAGTGGGAGCTGCTTTTGGGTCAGGCTAGCCAGCTGGCTCCATGGAAACCTGATGGGTAGCGTGACATCCAGAGATTTACTGCATGTCTGAGTCTGACTTTAAGCCTTTTAGCCTAAGAAATTTGTCAACACCTCCTCAAGCATGGATGTGCAACCTGGGTTTTGACTCATCTAAGTGAAGCTCATGAGACTGGGGTGAAAGCTATAACACCAGCCTAGTAATTTCCACTGGGAACCATCACTGCCAATGAAATCAGATCTACTTGGTGCAGAGTCTCCCAATAGGCGAGGGGTTTAGAAAGCAAAACTATAGTCAAGATGTAAGTTTCAAAATGAACTGAAAAGAAGGTAGCATATTTGGTTTAGCACATGGGAAGACAATGACATGCATAACTCTATTTAGCATATAACAAGGAATAAAAGAAAGCATGAGTTTAAATGGTTAGTGGTATATGCATAAGACAAACTAAAGATAGTTTCTTGCAAAGAATCTTTGTAGACCCCAAGGAGACAAATCAAACTTTTGGGCCAGGGCACCTCACAGCTCAGCACAGCTCTGGAATGAGCATTGCAGATGTTGTTCGGTGCAACTCTCTTTTGTATTCTACTCCCTGCAAGCAATTACAGCCTCTTAGAGAGATGCATTATCTTTTAGAGATGATAAATAATTTGATCAGTTTATAATCACATCCTGCTTGCCTGTAAGCCATCAAGCCTCTGTAAAATGCCTTTTCTTATCTTTTCTCTGATTTATTATCTGCTGATGTCTGCATTTAATTAACAGAAATCAGTCTTAGAGGTCTTTCCCCCACCTCCTGTTTCTAAGGTACTGAGGGTTAAGGAAGGGTTGAAAATACAAATACTAGTAAGCCATGACCATAAAATACTGAATCAGGGAACCTGAGCTCTAGTCTCAATTTTATATCTTATTCTAAGATGGGAGTTATTACTGCACCTGATACACATTTACTGTGTGAATAAAATATTTTAATATGGCCTCAACTCCTTATTTTGATAATCAACTAGACAGCATGTAAGAAGAACCTTGAGAATTACAAAAATCTGTTGTTAAGTTGCACTTATTTAGCTCTCAGCATATATTTATTGCACACTCTCTACACTCAGTAAACATTTTTTTTTTAATGAATAAGTAAATCAAAGAGTCAGTCCATCTGTTACTCATTGTGTCTTGCTGTATTGGAAGCCACGGGTCTGAGGTCCCTATAATGCCTAACCTACCCATGGGTAAAAGGAAGAATAGCAATAAAATAATAAGACAGCAGCAATGTACTGTCTTCTATGTATAAACAGCCTTCTCTTAAGAAACATATATTTAGCCTGATTTCAATTGACCTTGTTGATCGGTACTCTGTGGCAATGCCACTTAATCAATTTGTTGTTCTATGTGATATTCAGGAAATAAGTGTGTGCAGGTGCCTGGTCTCAGAAATCACTTACTGTCAGCTATGTTGATGAACATAAAAATATGACACTGTTTTTCCTTCCACTCTCATAATCCTATGCATTCCTTAAACTCTCATCATCATATGCATTGTTTTGGTCTATCATGAAAAAAAAATTCTGTAATCTATCTTGGTTTTAAGGGGATTTGAGGTTGTTCCTCATTTCCTAGGAAAAGACCATACCATGTGTCTCAGCCTCATGTGATTTATTCAGAGAAACTTTCACAAGTGTAGACTCTAGAGGCAGCTGTCAGCTGTTTCTTTTTGTGTGTGTGCTTACTCTCACTTGCTTCTGCTCTCCCTAGTTGCCTCCTAAATCCTCTCCATTTCTTATTTCTTCATTTTTCTTTATATTATTCTATTTTTAATAAAATATGCTTTGCAGGGCCTGAAAAAATTAGACTCAAATTCAGACATAATATAGCAGGCAAGGGGAAATTGCACAGTGTGGGTTTTGTATGGAGAATCATCTTCTAGGTAAAGAATCTTACGGCAGTGTGCTCTGTTGAGTACTTCTTCTCTGATTCACTGAAAATAAGGGTGAATGGCAACAAGCGTGGTGATCTGGAGCCTATGATGATCCCGGAGTCCTGGAGACTGAAATGAAGAACCAGGGGGTGAATGTGGATTTAGTATAATTTCTCACTTAAAGTACATCAAGAGATAAACTCACTGTGGATGTTTGCTAAAAATCTCTAAATCTAGTCAGCTGAGTGAATATTAAATAAGTGAGGGCCTCTAAAGCCTTAGGCCTCTATTATGTAATAGGTAGAGATGAATATTGAGGAATACATTGTTAAAGAAAAGAGAAAATTAATATTTAAATACAAGTATAAAACCTCCTATTAAAAACAGATGATACATGTACAGACCTTAGTATGTACTAGGTGCTCAATAAATGCTATTTTATCCCTCATTTATGTTGACTTGTGAAATATTCTTATTATATATTATTTCCTTCAATAGGTACATTTTATTCAATAAAACAATGACAGTATTTTCCTTAATGTGTTCACATTAAGGAAAAAGAAATAGATGCATTCAGCACAAGATGGTAAAAAACAATGAGAAAAAACTACAATCATTATGATTTACATTATTTTACTTAATATTCAAAATAAACCTGTCCAACCCTAGCTGGTTTGGCTCAGTGACAGAACATTGTCCTGTGGACTGAAGGGTCCCGGGTTCGATTCTAGACAAGGGCACATGCCCTGGTGGCAACCCAATCCCCAGGGGGAAATGTGCAGGAGGCAGCCGATCAATGCTTCTCTCTCATCATTTTCTATCTTTCTCTCCCTCTCCTATCCTCTCTGAAATAAATAAAAATATATTTAATATACATATATAAAAACTGTCCACTAAGTATTATAAATAAGCCCAGACAGTTTCAATAACTTGCTCAAAATCACACAGCCAGTCAGTATACAAATGCTGGGCAAAGGACTGAGATCCAGAAGAAAGACAATGTTATTAACTAGCACAGAAACCTATGTGAAACTCCAAAGTCATTTTCTTGCTACTCAAAACAGGTATTGTGGACAAACGGTCACTAGTAGGCTCAAAACTTTGGATACACTTTTCAACAGAGTGACCAATTTTATCTGCCCTAAGAACATCCCATCTTCGCTAGGGAACAGTTGTGCTTTGAGAAACATAGGAAGTTACATTACTTTTTCATCTAATTCAGCGGCTAATAATAATAGAATTTAGCTACTCAAGAGACCATATCTCCAGGACAGCTTTAAGGATGGCAAGTGCCTCTGAATGGAGGAGAATCCAAACTGCTTTTTTTCCCTCCATGCCCAATGCTAAAATTGGCTTGAAATGCCTTGGTTTCTAGAAATGAGAGTAGTTATCTAAGGTGATTTTTTTTTTTTTTAAACCAGACACCAGGGTGATGCAAAAGTCCCCTTCAAAGTCCTCTAGGCTCTAAAGCAGGGGTGGGCAAACTTTTTGACTCGAGGGCCACAATGGGTTCTTAAACTGGACCGGAGGGCCGGAACAAAAGCATGGATGGAGTGTTTGTGTGAACTAATATAAACTCAAAGTAAACATCATTACATAAAAAGGTACGGTCTTTTTTTTTTTTTTTTTTAGTTTTATTCATTTCAAACTGGCTGATCCGGCCCACGGGCCGTAGTTTGCTCACAGCTGCTCTAAAGGCTCCTAGTCCTGCTTGAGGATGAACCTATTTTTTTTTCAAAAGTTTCTTTTTAATTGATTTTTAAAGAGAGAAGAAGGGAGAAGGATAGAGAGATAGAAACATTGATGAGAGAAACATCATTGATAGGCTGCCCTCTGCACATCCCCTATTAGAGATTGAGCCCACAACCTGGGTATGTTCCCTGACCAGGAATCGAACCAGTGACCTCTTGGTTAATGGGTCAACACTCAGCCACTGAGTCACACTGGCCGTGCTGTGGGGATAACATTTTGATAGTCATTTGCTGTTTATCATATATTTTGGGGAAATAGAAAAAAAATATGTAATTTAAATAAATACTTGTGTGGTTGCTACTGAATGTTACCAAAAATTGAGTTTATCACACAGAGAATGCAATGGACAGAACTTCCTTATTTGTTAATAATTTGTCGAAGGTCCCATCTCTGTATCACTATGGAAAAAGTCCAATCTTGTCTTCAGCAGGGCCACTGCCCATAGTTTCTGCTTCATATTAAAATATTTTCCAGTCCAGCATCTGGCCAGCTTAGCTTGTGTTCCCAGGTGCAGCCCATTGTGTGTGGGGTCCAAATATCTTTGTAGCTGCTCAAGGCCACAGCGCTGTGGAGAGAGATCACACAATTGCCTGGGAGAGTGTGTCACAGAGCAAGAGAGAGCAAGAAGAAGAGAAATGAGAGGGAACTCTTTGGGAATTCTAACTTTCCAATATTTCATGTGTTTCTGATGGGGTCGCCCTTAGCCAATCCATTGTTCCCCAGGGTAGACTGACAGGCAAGCACTTTCCCCATGCTACCCTGACTTCATTGTACATGTGCACAACTACCCTTTTGTTCCACCCCTTCCCCCAGTGATCAGTAGGGAATAAACCAGTGGTTCCCTGGGGAGCATGAAGCTGTAGCTTCCTGGTGAAACTACCCAGATGACCATATGAATAATATTTGGCCTCTCCTTTGCTCTCTTTCTATTACTAATATTAATTAGCTAATTATGATGATAACAGTTTCATTTGTTTGTATTTGTTATTGTAGAAGAAAAATGGTCTTTATAATTTTGCTTTCACCTTAAAATAATAATGGTTGACAGCTGTCAGGGAAGGAGGGGCTAGGTGGCTAGGTCGGAGAGTAGAGCTAATGAATGAGAGAGAGAGAGAGAGAGAGAGAGAGAGAGAGAGAGAATTCATGTACTGGGAAAACAGTGTGTGATTACCAGGGAGAGGGGGATAGGAAGATATGGAGGTGGGTATAGGGGGGATAAATGGCGATGATGGAAACTTGATTTGGGGTGGTGAGCACATAATTCAGTGTGCCGATGATGTGTTGTAGAATTGTTAACCAGCGTCACTCTAATACATTCAATGAAAAGAAAAAGAAAATAATGTAAGTGAACTATTTATATGTCTTTACTCTCAGCACATCTATTGCTAAAGTAGTCCTTTTGGAAATTCAGATGTGGAAAAGTGACTAATTTAAATTTAGTTGTTTGGGTCAGTGATCTAGAAACTGAAGAGTAAGGCTTGCCATGGGGGATCCCAGTAGGGATTCTTTGAAACTCAAGTTTCTTCTCTGTGTTGTTTAAATCTTTTCTTCTAGATACCAGCTTTTCTGCTCTAGTTATCTGTACTTCACAAGCAAGGGGTGGTGTGCCCTGCCTCTTCTCTGTCATTGATGGTGACAAGAGAGGGCCTATAGCATCAGGGGAAACCCTCACCAAATTGAAACTTCGCTGATTTCAGTTGAATATGGCCATACTTACTCTTGCTCTTGAACTTTGTTTCAAATCAGCTGACTTGGAAATATTTTTTTATCTGAGTTGGCCAAAGGAATTCCAGAGCGGAATAGATCTAGTATTCTTCCCCTCCAGTTCTCACATTTCTAAATTAAGGCATGTCTGTGGGTTCCTTTAGCTTCCTCCTCTCCACTTACTTAGTACCAGCTTGCATTGCGGTTTCAGGAAATAAATAGCAATGCTTCAATTAGGTTCTAGTTTGATTGAATGAAGCAAAGACCCTTGAGGATTTCAAAATGTGGCTGTCTTCCTTCTGTAGTAACAGTGTCAATGGAGACTTTCTCTACTTTTATATGGCATTGGTCATTTCAGTTAACTTTTATTATGATAGGCAGGGCGGGGATTTGCTTGCCTACTCTGAAGGCATTACTATTCTCTGAAGACTAGGAAATTAGCTTTTGGTTTTGAGGCATTCTCAGACTGGTCCAGTTAAGTTGCTGTATCAGGAACTGACATTGTTATGCTTCACTGGACAGT